GTTAGGGTCAAATAAAGAAACTCAAAATTATAAAAAAAACTTTATTAATTAAATTAGCTAATAAATGCAAGCATAGACAATAAAGTTTTAAAAATCTTCGTATGAAATATCCGAACACTCAATAAAAGTCTTTCGATGGTAGCTCGACATAGTAAATAAAAATAAAAAATCCGACGACGCATTCCTGAAGAGGATGCGAAACGTCAATTAATAAATAAATTCAGTACATCTAACCCGTAAAAACTAGTTTTATTAAATGAGTTTTTATTATGTGCGTGAAAACTTAAGAAACAAATATTAATAAGATTATTAAATCGTTATTTTTCTTTACTCAATTCTAAACTACCTATATGTAAAATCCACGCGACCAGGCAGCGGACGGGACTCGAACCCGCATCCTTCGCAATCCGGGCGAATGCACTGACCATTTGGGTTGCCTACAATGCGAAGAAATGGCGCTGCCTTGCAGCTTAAGGCTAGGAAAATTTCGACGCGGCTAATAGGGCCGTGGTAGCATAATGGTCAGTGCATTCGCCCGGATTGCGAAGGATGCGGGTTCGAGTCCCGTCCGCTCCCTGGTCCACGTGGATTATTTTCTAGTAAACTTTTCTTTAGATTTAAACATCTAGCAGTTAAATGCTTAAAAATAAATAAATTCATACCTATATGTAGATAGGTAAATAACAAACACAAAAAGATGTGAGTTGCCATTCACTTAAACAATTTCTTAGTAGGTTAGTTACGGTGGCCGTCCGTGGTCACCGTTATCAATTCCACTTTACCAGATGACACTTTCCAAGAACAAATAGGCGAGTAATGAAAGATTACCAAGTTATTGAAGATATACCTATTTTAAGCATTCTCTCGATTTCTCCAAGATCTCATCATCAGATCCTGACTTAGTGAATATGTCCATGAATGTTAAGAAGATGGTCTGACCTTAGAGCATAACCTTTCTTAAAAAAACAATATTGAAAAATTGCCATTCTGAGGCACTGGGTACATATAGGGTGACCAGTGCCTTAGGGGTACATATATGAATTGACTTTATGTTCTAAAATGTACTAACATAGTTTTTAAGGTTTGATTGTTACTAACATTTCTGTGGATCTAGACCTGAAATAAACATTATTTATTATTATTGTTAATATATATATATATATATATGTATAACATTAGACACTAATTTTACAATATCAAGCGAAAAAATACGTTATGTTGTAAGGGCACCCATCCTTTAATATTTATTTTATTTTAATTATTTATTTCTAAAGTGAATATACAACTTAATATACTGTGAATATTTCAAGCGTCTATCCGTTGCCGTTATGACTATAGAGCAAATAATCACGTTTGTTTTATGAAAGCCCTCTTTAAATATTTATTTTATTCGGTAAAAAATTAATAAGGAACATTTTTTAATTTCCTTTAATACGAATTTTAAGATAGTTGTTTACAGACGTACTTTATAAACGCGATAAACAAACTCTCGTGTTTTAATACTCTTTCTTATAATAATAGTTGCATAAACAACTAATATCAGCTTATATTAAGACAAGACGTTACGACTTTGTACACATTTCGTAGCAATACAGCGGCTGTTAAACTCCATCCGCCTTATTACAAAACGTCGGCTAAAGTTAAACCTCATGCTGTCACATTTTTTTCCTAAAAAGAAGACAGAGACAGCATTAGGTTTGAACCAAGACCAACTTTAGTCCACGTTTTGGAATAAGATGGCATTTGGTTGTAGCGACTAGTCAGCTACGGACTACGGCCGCTTTACATTCACCTTCGTAGCAAGCTGAGAATGTTTTGTGCTACGTGAGATTCCGCAGTCCCATAGCCATTGGTATAGGAGAGGAAAGATATAATGATCTTTCAAAAAAAAAAGAAAATATCTTTTGGAAAAACTGTTTATGAATTAGATATTATATTTAATCAATTATCAAGGGCCCGAGAGATGTAGCTTTTAATTTTACACTTCTTACATAGCATCGAAAACACCATAATTCTGGTCAAAAATCTCAAACAAAACCATCTCTTGCGATGGAACAGACACTTAACGCGCACGATGACACTGTAAGACCGATCCATCATTCCCAAAGTTGTTTTAAAGTCTCTTAATGAAGCCGACAAAAAGCAGACAGGGCCCTTTCATATTTTCATCACAAGCTGAAGCGGGCTTTATACGAAAGACCTGAAGAGCTATCGATTATAGATTAACGCCTCGAGAACTCTCGAGTAACCATTGTTACACGTTTATCAATCGATGGGAATTCAATTATTGGAATTCGGTGTATTATTAAACCAATACTGAGACTCACCTTCTTTTTTAATTAGGTGTTTGTAGCCAAAGGGTCCTTTGTGGCGGTAAATTTATTCATTATCACTTAAAGTCATACTAACGGTGAAGAACCAATAATTCCCATCCACGAAAACATAACTTTATAGCAGAGCAAACAAACGTTTAAAAATGATTATGTCATTGATTATGGAAAACAAATTCAATAACATAATACGCTCTTGGCAAAAAAAATGTAAAGCTTATCAGTTTTACCATCAAACAAGTATTAGAACCTACTTACTGACTCTATATCGTGTCGAACTTTCGGTGTCATAAATCAGAGTAATATACTTCAGATGAATCTAATATCCAATGCCTCAATAAAACCATATTTTGCATTGCTTCTCACAATCTCATTGTCAAAATAAAACTGATCGCCAACGACTAGCAGCAACTTCAAACCCTACAAAAATATGCGTAACCAATGTACTATATGACTGGTAGAATAGAGCATTCTCAGTAGTCTCCCACGTAGCACAGAGCATTCTCAGATTGCTACGAAGGGTGAATGTAAAGCGGTCGTAGTTCGTAGCTGACGGCTCGCTACAAACAGATGGAGTTTAATAGCCGCTGAAATGCTACGAAATGTGGACAAATCGTAACGACTTACTACGAGCTGTTAAAAATTTATATTGATTTTTTTATATTGTTTTTATATGAAAGGTACGTAACCTTTCCTTTCCGAAGTGTTTCCATATCCACTAAGTCATGATATGACTGTGCGATATTGGAAACATCGAGAGAACTCTTAAAAAATTGTTGGTATATTTTCAATTATTTGGGCATTTTTTATTAGAAGTCTATTTTTTTACGAAATTGTCATCTGGTTAAGTGAAAGAAATTAGGTGTAGATAACAGTATTGACTTTGAATATGGAAAAAAAAATAATGAGGTTCTACATTTCTTTCGGCGTGCTAACCACGTATATAGCTCAAATCACTTGCTGAATGGGAAGGGTTCGGTCCTTCACTGTCGATAATATGTTGTCTTATTCTATTTTTATCGCTAAGAAAGAGACAACCCTAACGCAGATCATACTTAAAACTTAATTCACATTTCTGAGTGCAGTCCTAAGCTTCATTCATTCGTCCTTCTGTCTGTAAGCAGGCTATATGTTATGAACTGTTACAGGTAGATGAAGATAATTCTCTGAAATGAAAACATATTTATGCACCCCGACCACTTTTGGGACAAGGAAAAACCAGTGCACTCGCAACTCCAACACGATAAGATATATTATATATTACTTATAAAGACGTATGGGTACATTACAATATATGATATCGATAAATATCAATATTATATTTGGCCCGAGTAAGGAAAATTCCTTAGAAATTTATATGTATTGTGGATGATAAACATTATTTCTGTATCAACATGAGAACGACTTTACCGATTTCACCCATCATATTTTTAAGGAAAAGGGTGAAAAAATAAAAAAAGATGGGTGAAACTAAAGTTAATGTGGACTAAATCGCGGGCGCATCAGATGACAATGATACAATCATGAATTTGTAAATTGTATTTTGCAATATTGTAGTCAATACCGTTGATACCTAAAATGGTTCTTAAAACTTTTATAGCGATACTAAGAAAACTGTGTTTTTCACAATTTCTTCGATACTAACAAATTGTGTTTTTCACAATTTCTTCAATACTAAGAAATTGTGTTTTTTACAATTTCTTAGTATCGCTATAAAAACTTTAAAAACCATTTTAGATTTTAACTGTATTGACTACAGCATTACGTCTATAATATATTTTGTTAAACGTTTAAATCGACCTGATTTGAGTAGTTTAAAAATAATGAAAATTTCTGAATTAGATTCACAAATGTTTTCGTAAATATTGTACAACCTCTTATATTTGAAAGTGGATTGTTAATACATAGTAAAAGCAGAAAAAATGAACTCATAATTTTTCGATAATTAATAATAATAATTATTGAGATTATTCGAAACCTTATAACTGTTACCTAACTTTAGCATCGAATGTGTTCGAGAGAACTCTAAACTTTGCTTTCCCCCAAAACCAAAAGTTTGCTCGTATCCAAAAACATAGTTTATGTACCTTGTCAAATTCGTCAAAGAAATTCTTCGATCAACAATTCTATAGATAACGGGTAGCATACAAAATCAAAGCTAAAAACTGTCCGCGTATGTTTAAGCTTATGCAGCTACATTCGATTCCCAACGAAAAAAGATAAATGTTTCAAAACAGTTTAAGTTGAACCTTATAACAACTATCTCACGTAGGAATAAGGTTACAAACAACAAAATATTATCTCGCACATACGACCTCCTATCTTATAAGACGAACTCTTGTTACTTTTGTAAAATGTATCTTATGATTGGAAAAAAACTATAAAGGAAAACAAAGAAAAATGTGAAATCAACCTTATGACCCACATATAAAATATTTTTACCAGACATTGGCCAGATAAAAAAAGAATGTTGATGCAATTCGCCCTGAAATTCGGAATGCTCTGAAAAAGCTATAGTTATGAAAAGGTTCAATCTATCTTGCTACTTTGTTTATTATTAAAAGTTTCATTTCATTCTTCGAAAAAAAAAGTGCAGCTGGAAAAAGTTTTTATACAAGAAATATCCGTGTTTGTGCGACGTTGCGCTGACAGCGTTTTCGTTTAGTCACCGACCGCACGCCGGGTCGTGAACACGCTGTGTCCGCCCGAGCATTCGCGTCCCGAATATTTGCAACATCGATATTGGCGAATAAACGTGATGTCGTTATTAATTCGATGCTCGATATTCTAACGAAGATTTGCATCGAAATTGGTTGGAGATAAAGCGGGGTGAACGGTGTATAACAAATTGAGTGGTGTATAATGAGATTTTTTTTTGTGTATGGGATGTGAAATTTCCGATCGGCTTATTAGGTAAGTCTTATATTTTGCGAGTTTTAGAGAACATTTTCGGGGATCACACGCAAAACATTATTTGATTACTGACTGCGTTAACTTAGGCTGGAATGATTTGAATGTAAGTATTTAAGAATAATGCGGCACAAAATGTTTTTTAATAGTTATCAATAGGCAAGCGGAAAATAGTTTTTCGTGCAATAGTGAACTAACTATAAAATTTCTGTTTTTAAATCAATGTAGTTGGAGGATCTTAGGAAATAATAAAGAAATTTTGAATTTGATAAAATATGGATAGGCGGATTCCGAAGTTAACCGTTTTGCGAAAATGTTTCGTTCATCGCGTGGCGTCTAATTCTTAAATAATAATTAATGATGAATGATTTGAATTAGGTTTACACATATATAATATAATTTAATTTTCTAAATAAATGAAATACTTTTTAAGAGGAAAAACATCGTACAGATATATTTTTTTAATGGCTCCTTGAAGGTTCTAATTTAATTATATTTTAAAATGGGTGCTGCAATCGACTCTAAATGTCAATAAAATAGAAATAAATACATACTATTTTACCCGTTAAAAATATATTATTGGTGTGCAAGAAAACATATAATTTTCTCATAAAAAGTAAACTGCTCCTTGATAATAGACCTTATATATATTAAAATTTAAAAATAAATTCGGAAATAATTTCATATTTCTAAGATGTTGTTATAACCTTATCAATAGGTAACTATTAATTCCACTTCGGTACATTATATTTATATGTATCTGTTTTTTATCAAAGACAGTGATATAATTATACAATGTTATAGATTCTTCCTTCGTTTTCATTAACGCAAATCAGCTTTTAACTTTGACGAAAGTTGAAAATTACTGTAAAGATTATTAAATTTTGCTTTTTCGTTGAGTGTTTTTAAGAAACATTAAACTTTAATGAAGTGTACAGCTCTCACATCTCCTGGTATCAGGATTGAATAAAACAAAAAGTATGACCACCAAACCTAAACATGATCCGAATTCCGATGGCTTTGTAAAGTTTCAGTTAGCATCTCGCATAATTTTATTTGAGTAGTCACTAGTCATGGAAAATTTTACTCGAAAATATTCCATGCCAGACAGCAGACGGGATTCGAACCCTAACAAACATCTACCAATTAAATGCTTGAAAATAAAAAAAATAATTACTAGTTTTGGATTAAACTACTAATCATATCTTACCGGTCAAGCCTCTCGCCCAGCATTAATTTTCTTACAAGGAAAGGGGTTTGACCGATTCAACTTCATCTTCTACTATCTACCTCCATTTGACGACTTCCGCGGCCGAGTGGTTAGTACGCCGGGTTTCATGGTGTCGCCGACTCGAGAGGTCCCGGGTTCGAATCCCGGTGGGGGCAGATGTTTGTATGATGAATACGAGCATTTGTACTCCAGTCATGGATGTCTAATATGTATTTCTAAATTGTTTTGTTACTTCATCTCCTACTCTCTATCTCCATTTCTTTTCTATTTAGTTTCCTATCTTCTTCCTTTCATCTCTCACCGTCCACTCCTCGATCTCTTTTACTACTATACGACCTCCCTGGTTGCATCTCGACGCCGCCTCGGAATCTTGTAGGCCTATTCCACCAACTATCGAATTTACTACATACACAAAATAACAGTCTGCCATCGACAAAACTAATGTAATGAACAAATGAACGTAGAAAAAAAAAGCTTTCTTTTTATGCATAATAGGCAATGCGTTTGACCACAATCTCGCCTGATGGAAAGCGATGATGAGGCCTAGGATGATACATGCCTAGAAGATGCCTGTTCACTTTAGCCTTGAAGATGCCCAGATTATATTGGTCCGGGAAAACAGACCTCGGCAAGGAGTTCCAATCCCTAGCCGTTCGCATAATGAAAGTGGAAGCAAATCGCTTCGTGCCAATGTGAGGAACTTCTACAACAAAAGGGTGAAAGCCCTCGCCGCGCCTGGTCGTCCGGTGGTGGAATTAAGAATTCGTTTTAATTAAAAAGATTCTTTTTGATTCATTTAAAAAGAAATTGTTAATATAAAAAGAAAAAGGTTAAGTATTAAAAATGCGTAGTACACGTGGAAGTTGGCACCATTCAAGAATATTTGTTGAGCGATTAAAACTGTTATGTTTTCTTATAGTTTCATGATTTTAATTTTAAGTTATTATTTTTTTAGAAAAAAGGTGCCAACTTATCTTCACTACTTAGCCCAATCTCTATTTTCAATCACTACCAGTAAATAACATACCTATACACTACTACACATAAAATATTACAAATGTGAAAGTTTGTAAGTTTGTAAGTATATGTGTTCCTTAATCACACAAAACGGCTGAACGGATTTGAATAAAATTTGGCACACATAATAGTTTGTTACATGGATTAAGACATATAATTGAGACATTTTAACCTAAAAAAATCTTAGGTTCCTGAGGTATTCACAAAAAACGAAAGGTAAGGCGGATAAAGTCGCGTGCGGTCACTATAGTCAAAAATACATTAAATTACTGGTATTTTGTTACTGTCTGGGCAGATTTTAAGTTCCGTAGTTACGGGACAAAAGTGTCAGTCGTCTATTTCTTAAAACATTATTATACTGTGTACGAATTTTATGAAAAAGATAAAATAAATTATTTTTTACTAAGGCGGAGGTAGGCACCATTAAACTATTTTTGTTATACGATGATTAAGCTGTCACGTCTTCAACTGATGAATAATGGCCGTCCGATTTTAATATCGAGCTAAATTTCACGAAAACACCCGGACAAGTGTGAATAGGACCGTATCTTTTTTTATGCTAACGTAGAACTGAGTACATGGTGTAAAGGACATCATGTTTAAATTTTGTATGAGAGACTGCCCTAGCAATGTATAAATATTGTACTTTTTTATATTTAATGCTAAATGGCTGATTATTTATAATTTCCATGAAAAACCGCTCAGGAGCTTCTGATAAAGTTCGCACAATCTTGAAAATTATGAAAATTCCTATTACGTCATTGACCCTACTGATAAAAGATGGTGACAATTATTTACAGAGTCATCAATTTCGCATTTTGTTACAATCTTTCCTCCAATTTCTCTGATTAACACTTCACCAAAAGTATTTTTAAAGCAAAAATAAATACAAATAATTTGTTGTCATAGGCCTGACAGGATGTGCGAAGTTTTATTTCGTTCATTTGCAAAAAAAAATGGATCAATTATCATACAGCATTAACTACAGCCTGATGAGAAAAATAAAATCAATTATTTGCGGCCTTCAGTGATTTGTTATAATAAAAATTAGGGTCAAATATGTCACAGTTTTTAGGCGTTTGGAATTAATATTGTTTATCTCGTTATACTTACACAAATATTTTTGTGCACATTTATTGTACATTTATTTATGTAAAACGAACATTTTCTTTGTGAAACAGACATGAAGTCAATTTATGTACTTTTATGATTTTTACGGAAGGAATAATAAACACGACAAAATAAATAAAATAATATAATGATGTTTTAGGCTAGTGCGAAATAATTATACACGTTAAGGGCAGTTTCTTAGCAATATCCTTTTAACTGCATACCTCCACGCACTTCCGAGATAAAGGGTCTTGCTTGACCTTTTTTACCTTAACTTAGAAGTTTGAACTTTCGTAGCTTCAAGGGGCCGTAGACATGTTTTTAAATTTCAACTCGATGCCTTTACGCTTTCCCGAGATAAAGGGTCTTAACAGACACAGGGAAAGATAGACAACAATGCGATCCTGTAAAGGTTTCTTTTTTTCTTCTTGAGGTACGGAACCCTAAAATGCCGGTAACTTCAAGAAATCGCTACCTACCTTGCCATTATCTTTTTTTACAAAAGTTATCGATAAATCACATTGATTCAGCTGAAATAGCATTGATTATGTATTCATCGAATATAAAGTACTCTTTTTATGTTCTCTTTTGTCATACAAATTATGTAAGGAGTGCCTTTTTCAAGAGATGTTGAGATATTCATAAACGTACAGTTCTTTCAACCATTTGGAATAATATTCATTCTTCCAAATGGTTGAATCGTTACAATCATTCGATTGAAACATAACTTAAAATAATATCGAACAAATTAATTCCTGATCCACTATAATGCTTATTTCCTTTCAAACATTGCAAAACTATTAGGTAGACTTTTGCTTAAATATACGTATGCCCTGAAAACAAAGTTGTTATTTTATGAACAATCAGGTACAATCATATTTAACGTAACAGATTTTGCTGCCTCCTTGTAACATAATTTTGACGACCTGCGCGGCCAAGTGGTTTGTACGCCGGGTTTCATTTCACTCGAGAGGTCCGGGTTCGAATCCCGGTGGGGGCAGATGTTTGTGTGATGAATACGAACATTTGTACTCCAGTCATGGATGTTTAATATGTATTTCTATATGAACATACTTATATATGTACAGTATATATATTCTATCCGTTACCCTAGTATCCCATAACACAAGCCTTACAGTGCTTACTTTGGGGCTAGACTAATTGGTGTGAGCGTTGGAAATATTAATAATATTAATTAATATTTGACGTTACTTAATTGGAGTTTTGCCCATAGACTAAGGATTTACGTATAAGTTTATTCTTAATGTCAAGATATCGATTAAGTTTTTATCACATTTACGGTTTTAAAAGTAATTTCAACATTCAAACTACTATTCCAATTTCATCTATTGCATCGAAAACAATGGTCTAATTTCAAAGATTTTTGATCCACATCAAAGCGATTTCACTTTAGAGGGTCCTAATTGCCATTATGCATTTTCTATAGAAGACAGGAATCAATTTATAGAATAGAACACATGCAAATTTCGCTTGCAGGGATTTTCAGCGTATCATAGAGTTAAAAATAGCAAGATTGCATGTCCAAATTATATGTCTCATAACATCTCTAATCGCAAAACAGAAACTTTATGAACATCAAACTACCATTAAGAAATGAAATGTTTAAATTAACATATTTGTATGT